CACAGACCGCTTGTATCAGGCGGAGGCTTATAGATTAGACTGATCCACCGTTGTTAGGCCTTGTGCAAGAATGTACACCGTTTATAATATATACATATGCATATATATATATATATATATATATATATATATATATATATATATATATATCCCACAATCCCGAAGAAACGAACCGCTTCGACCGAGCGACACATGACATTTTTTTATTAGGGTGGCTCAGCGTGTTGGTAGTTGTTGGATAGGCACTAGTGCCGGAACACACCGCACGTCTGTTCGGTTTGGATGGGATTGTTGCCTTCACCAGGGGTTACCATCGCGTGCCTCTGAATCCTGGCGGTTCTATAAACGTCGTTACTCCGAGCACCGCGATTTACGGCGGGGAGGAGGAGGCACAAAAGACCCGCCGCGGCCTGCCGATGAGATCTCATCCGCATCGTCCAGCAGATCCGAGCCGCGTGGCAGTCACGCTGACTGTTTCGAGTCTCGATGCTTTGGTTGCCGCCCCGGCGCTGTGGTTGTTGATCCGGTTCTATGTGGCTGTTGTTCCGGTCCTGTGCTTGCTGCTCCGGCTCTGTGGCTGCTGCTCCGGCGGCTTTAGTGACCGGCCTGTTCGTCCCCGGCCTCCCTTGAACGCAGCGGAGGCCGGCGTCACGCGCCCGCCCTTCGACGCGCTGCATGATCGCTGCTTGCGTATAGCGTGGCTTGGGCGCCCTTTGGAGTGCGCCGCCGCACCACCCTCGCCCCATGGTCTGTTTGTTTATCCGGCGGCGCGTCGATGCGAATCGCCAGCATTTGAGCGACGACGAGGGACTTCCAGACGGGGCCCCGCTGATGCCAGCCGCGCTGCGTTTCGTTTTCGCCGCCAGGTGGCGCTCAGGTCGCGGTCAGATGCGCTGCACGCTAGCATTATAGGCTGCAGGTTGAGTTTCTGGTCATGCAACGGGTTGCCCGTCGGTCAGTGACACTGGATGGTAGGCTCTGGTCACCGCCGCAGCCGGGCTTGGAGTCGGCCGCCAGCGGCCGCTGCGGCAGACGTGGGCTCGGCATAATCTCGACCCGTTGTACGTGACTGCAATCAAATCAAGGCGGACCGATGCGATACGATGCCTGAAGTTTTATGAGCGTGGTATCCCCGGCGAAACAAGCATTAGGGACCGGCTCGCTGTTGTAGCGGATGCGATTACACGGATCTGATACTTAACTCCGGTAATTTGTGCCAGTGTTCTGTCAGTTTCGCGACCTATCCACCAGGCAGCGTATCCGCAAGCTTGCGGATTCCTCCGCGAACCACTGCCGGGCCAGCTGGGCGTTGGTGCCGCTCTCAAGCTGAACACCGCGGAGGTGCTGAAGTGTAAAATGGAATACCGTCCCGTGCCGCTGCAGTTCGACAGTGCAGCCACGCTTTTCGATGGCTTGTCTGGCCAGGACGACATTTCCGCTGAAGCTCCGCGGACCGCATGCCGTCGGTCCTGATGGTTTCTTCCTGCAAACTCAGTGGCGGCGGTCACGGGAGGCATGCAGGCCCATCCCCTGGAAAACCGTGGTGATAGATGCAATCTCTTTGGAAGACTCATTAATTCATGTCGTTCCGAGTAGACATACAACTGTGGGTTGTTCGTCCGTCAGGATTGGTTACACGATCGTCAGGTGACAATTCGTCCGGACCTGGCACACGACTGTCCGCTGATGATCCCTGACGAGTGGGCGTGCACCAATCCGCCGCCAGCCTATATGGGTGGACATACGACCGTGCGCTGATGATCTCTGACGAGTGGGCGTGCACCAGTCCGCCGCCAGCCAATATGGGTGGACATACGACCGTGCGCTGATGATCCCTGACGAGCGGGCGTGTGCCTGTCCGCCGCCAGCCAATATGGGTGGACATACGACCGTGCGCTGATGATCCCTGACGAGCGGGCGTGCACCTGTCCGCCGCCAGCCAATATGGGTGGACATACGACCGTGCGCTGATGATCCCTGACGAGTGGGCGCACACCTGTCCGCCGCCAGTCCGCACTGATGGACACACGACCGTCCGCCGATGATCCATGACGAGTGGGCCACTTCACTCGGCCGCTTTTCGGTAACATATGGTCGTTGCTGCTGCCGCTGTGGTGTGACGTACGGCAGGTCATGACCGGTGTCGTGACGTGGCACCGCTCCCTGACCTTTGTCGGCTAGCGGGCCACCCACACACGTCAAGGGACCACCTCAATATCGGCCACCACAAATCTTCGCCGAGACGTCGATTCCTCTGCCACATTACTGGATCACGCCGCACTGAAAGCCGGGAGGCCATAATGCATAGCAAACGCCTGGCGGGATACCAGTGCGAAGCGCACCGGCGGTTAGGCTCAGACGCCCACGCAGGCCGTTCCGGCCCACGCCAAGCCTGGCGCGGACGCCTGAACCGACGTTCGGATGTCCCCGGAACTGCTGGCCAAAGCGATGGTCAACTACCGCTGGCTCAGCGGCCGGATACAGATCAGATCCGGTCACCGGGCTGGCAGCTGCGGCGGAGCGGACGACGACCGGCCACCGGGCTGGCAGCTGCGGCGGAGCGGACGACGACCGGCCAGCTGGCAGCTGCGGCGGAGCGGACGACGACCGGCCACCGGGCTGGCAGCCGCGGCGGAGCGGACGACGACCGGCCACCGGGCTGGCAGCCGCGGCGGAGCAGGCGACGACCGGCCACCGGGCTGGCAGCTGCGGCGGAGCGGACGACACCGGCCACCGGGCTGGCAGCTGCGGCGGAGCGGGCGACGACCGGCCACCGGGCTGGCAGCTGCGGCGGGGCGGACGACGACCGGCCAGCTGGCAGCTGTGGCGGAGCGGACGACGACCGGCCACCGGGGCCAGGGTTCTCCCAGTGCCTGTATGGACTGGCGGGACCGTGCTCAAGTACTGATCATCCGTAACTCAAGCATCTTGGCAACCTAGTGCCGATTTAAAGCAGTGGCGTAGGGATGACGACTCATTGTCACTCAGGGATAGCGCCGTTTAGCGCGTGTGTGTGGCAGGGGCGTAAGTTCCAAACGAGTTGAGTGGGGAGAGGGTCTGAGCTGTGAAAAAGTGAAAAACGAGGTAGCCTGCCCCCACAGTACGGTAACAAACTGGTCACTACCCGGTTTTGGGAGCTGGAGTCTCCCTCTCTCCCAACTGACTAGGAGATTACACCCGTGGCATGTTGTGCATTTGGTGTACGCAAGCTTATGCCGATACGATCGGACCTGTAGCGACAGTTGTCAAGGAGAATATGTTATCATGGGATCCACGGGAGGCTGCATCCATTAATTCGGGCTAGCGGATGCGCCGACCGCTGAGTTCACGTTATGCTCAGGAAGCTGCACAACTCTGCTGTCTGCTCTATCGGTACCTCTTAGCTATTTGGTGATGGACAATAACCCTCGTCGATCTTGTATGCCTTGTGTATTATTATATTTGACCAAGTCGAATCAGAAACTGCGAGCACTGCCTTGTTACCAGCGTGTTATCTTGTCACATCGAAATGTAAATGTCTTAGGCATCACAGTACCTACTACGCTATAGGGGTGCGCAGCAATGCAGTCATTTCCGTTTTTACATGAGCTGGAGGCGACAGGGCACTGCGACCAATGAGTGCGGCGATAGTCAAGCCGAGCGATCGTGGTCGGGTCCTCCTAGTTTTGTTTGTTATGCTGTTCCACTTGGATTTTAACTGAAAGGCCCGGCAAGTGGGACATGTACAAGTGCTACGTACCTCGCTCTTACCGAGAAGTTTCAGCACGCATTGCTGTCGTTTTGTCACGGTGGTATTTGCCAGCCTTCCTCCACTCCGATGCGAGGGTCTCTTCCGGAAATGCAGACGATGTGAAGCGATGCCCTTTGTTAGTGATATGGCACTGCTCTTCATTCCGTTTTCGCACTGTTGACATTCCAACAATAGCCATCAACCTGACCCCTTGCCTTCACCCGGCCACATTTGACCCGTCTCCCTCGCCTTCACCTGGTCACATTTGACCCGTCTCCCTCGCCTTCACCTGGTCACATTTGACCCGTCTCCCTCGCCTTCACCTGGTCACATTTGACCCGTCTCCCTCGCCTTCACCTGGTCACATTTGACCCGTCTCCCTCGCCTTCACCCGGTCACATTTGACCCGTCCCCCTCGCCTTCACCTGGTCACATTTGACCCGTCTCCCTCGCCTTCACCTGGTCACATCTGACCCGTCTCCCTCGCCTTCACCCCGATCACATTTGACCCGTCTCCCTCGCCTCCACCCGGTCACATTTGACCCGTCTTCCTTGCCTCCACCCGGTCACATTTGACCCGTCTCCCTCGCCTCCACCCGGTCACATTTGACCCGTCTCCCTCGCCTTCACCTGGTCACATTTGACCCGTCTCCCTCGCCTTCACCCGGTCACATTTGACCCGTCTCCCTCGCCTTCACCCGGTCACATTTGACCCGTCTCCCTCGCCTCCACCCGGTCACATTTGACCCGTCTCTCTCGCCTTCGCCCGGTCACATTTGACCCGTCTCCCTCGCCTTCACCCGGTCACATTCGACCCGCCTCCCTCGCCTTCACCCGGTCACATTTGACCCGTCTCCCTCGCCTTCACCCGATCACATTTGACCCGTCTCCCTCGCCTTCACCCGGTCACATTTGACCCGTCTCCCTCGCCTTCACCCGGTCACATTTGACCCGTCTCCCTCGCTTTCACCCGGTCACATTTGACCCGTCTCCCTCGCCTTCACCCGGTCACATTTGACCCGTCTCCCTCGCCTTCACCTGGTCACATTTGACCCGTCTCCCTCGCCTTCGCCTGGACATGTTTGAACCAGCCTTCATCCGGTCACATTTGAAGGCGCTTCCCCCGCCTTCGCCCGGTCACATTTGGAACCGCTTCCCCCGCCTTCGCCCGGTCACATTTGAAGCCGCTTCCCCCGCCTTCGCCCGGTCACATTTGAAACCGCTTCCCCCGCCTTCGACCGGCCACATTTGACGTCTCTTTCGCCCGCAGGCTACGGCTTCGTGGACTTCGACACGGCGGACGCGGCGCAGAAGGCGGTGAAGCAGCTGGTGGCGAAGAACATCCAGGCGCAGATGGCGCGCCAGCAGGAGCAGGATCCGACCAACCTATACATCACCAACCTGCCGCTGACATACACGGAGCGCGAGCTGGAGGCGCTGCTGCAGCGGCACGGCACCGTCATCTCCACTCGCATCCTGCGCGACGACCGAGGCACCAGCCGCGGCGTCGGGTTCGCCAGGTCAGCAGCGGGGCCGGCTTTGCCTGACCAGGAGCGGAGGGGGTGGGATGGGCCTCTAGATCCGTGGTCTGTGCCAAGGCAGTGACATCATCACGGGTTCCTGCTGACTGCTAGGTCAGCGGTCAGCGGGGCTGTGGCGTTATATTTGCCAGGTCAGGGGGGGGGGGGAAGGATCGGCCGGGCTCGCCACGCCATTGTCCGAGGAGCGCCAGCCGCAACGGTTTCATCCGGTCAAATAAAAAGCAGAAAACAGGGGTGAGCCGAGCTAAGGTCAGCGATAGTCAACGCCGCTCCGCCGCTCTCTGAGCGTACCCGGCTCTGGCGAGGCAGAGACGGTGTTGTGCTGCGCTCCCGCCCGAGTGGCGGCGACCGTTCGGCGCCACGAAGCCCCGCCGCCGCGCGGCGCTAGCGGCAGGTTGGCTAACCGCCCTTCCACCGCCAGGATGGACATGCCAGAGACCTGCCAGAAGATCATCAAGACGCTGAACGGCCACACGCTGGAGAGCCACAGCGCCAAGCTGGCCGTCAAGTTCGCCGACGGCAACAAGAAGCGTCAGCAGCAGAAGGGCCAGGAGGCGCGCTGGCGGCAGCAGGAGGCGGCGCCGCGGCTGCCGGGCTACGAGACGGCCGGCGCGCTGGCTGGCCTGCCCGCCCGTTACCCGGTGCCGCTGCCCTACCTGTCCGCGCCGGCCTGGCCGCAGCCGCCGCTGCTGTACGGCGCGCCGCTGCCGCCGCAGCTGGACCTCGAGACCTACAGCCTGCTGCAGGGCATGCAGCAGCTGCAGCTGAGCGGTGCGCCGACGTCCGGCGGCGGCGGCGGGGGCGCCCCGTATGGCGCGCCGCCGCAGTACCAGCCGGCCTACCCGGCGGCCGCGTACCATGCCCTCAGCGGCATGGCGCCCTTCTACCAGCACCACCTGATGCACGGCGCCCCGGTCGGCGCCGACGCCGGCGGTGCTGACGACTGAGCGGCCGTGCGCCGGGTTAGGTGAGCCGTCACACGACGGGCTGGGTGAGCTGTCACGGAGGGCTGGGTGGGCTGTCACACGAAGGGCTAGGTGAGCTGTCACACGACGGCATGGGTGAGCTGTCACACGGAGGGCTGGGTGAGCTGTCACACGACGGGCTGAGTGAGCTGTCACACGGAGGGCTGGGTGAGCTGTCACACGGAGGGCTGGGTGAGCTGTCACACGGAGGGCTGGGCGAGCTGTTACGGGAAGGGCTGGTTGGGCTGTCAAACGGAGGGCTGGGTGAGCTGTCACACGGAGGGCTAGGTGAGCTGTCACACGACACGCTGGGTGAGCTGTCACACGGAGGGTTGGTTGGTCTGTCACACGGCTGGCTGGGTGAGCTGTCACACGACACGCTGGTTGGGCTGTCACACGGAGGGCTAGGTGAGCTGTCACACGACACGCTGGGTGAGCTGTCACACGGAGGGTTGGTTGTTCTGTCACACGGAGGGCTAGGTGAGCTGTCACACGGAGGGCTGGGAGAGCTGTTACGGGAAGGGCTGGTTGGGCTGTCACACGGAGGGCTGGGTGAGCTGTCACACGGGGGCTAGGTGAGCTGTCACACGACACGCTGGGTGAGCTGTCACACGGAGGGTTGGTTGGTCTGTCACACGGCTGGCTGGGTGAGCTGTCACACGACACGCTGGTTGGGCTGTCACACGGAGGGCTAGGTGAGCTGTCACACGACACGCTGGGTGAGCTGTCACAGGAGGGTGGTGGCTGTCACACGGCTGGGGGTGAGCTGTCACACGACACGCTGGGTGGGCTGTCACACGGAGGGCTAGGTGAGCCGTTACACGTAGGGCTAGGTGAGCTGTCACACAGAGGGCCAGGTGGGCTGGCACACGGTGGGCACCGTGCGCTCCATGCAGGCATGCACTAGATGCCCTACAATCTTTCGTTACCTGTGCTTGTGGAGAGTAAAACGTAGGCCTGCCTCGTACCCAGGTGTGAGTGGCCTAGGGCACCAGCACCGGAGGTCAGGACTCTGATAACGCACATGACGTGACGCCAGCTGGCATGAGAGCAGGGCGCGCGGCACACGGGATCGATGGTGACCTTGCGCGTCTGTTCCAGACCAATGTGGAGCGACTGTACATAGCGGCGGGCGGCGCCGCGCCGGCGGCAGCGGGCTTACGGCGCTCCCTGGACGCGGAGTCGGCGGCACAGGTTCGACCGCCGGCCGCGGGCAGCGCCACCGGCGCTCGGCGCGGACTAAACTCCGCTCAGGAATGCATGTCGCTGCGGGCGAGCGCCCGGCCCGCCACGCTCGGGGGTGTTGCGTGTTGGACCAGAGGCGCGGAGACTGTTTGATGGCCGCGAGCGGCCCGGTTGAGGCCGCCGCTCATCCCACCTGCCATCTGCCGTCGCGCGGGAGAACTGTGGACGGCGGGGCGGTGATGCCGCGTCCCTGTTGCCGGCCGTGTTGTTCTTCTCGGAGCTTCTGCCCGCTGCTCATTCTTCGACGGACTGCAGTGGCCGCCGGGCCATCAGGACGCCGATGTCAAGGACCTCACATTCCATCTTCAGTCAACCGACGCTGGTGTTTGTCGTGCTCTGTGACGTTTTCACAACGGCCTTCTATTTAATTCAGTTGCCTATGCGCCAAGCTGGGGGGTTTGTTTGCGGACAGTTTCCTTTCATTCTGTGTACTGTGCGACAGGGACGAGGGAGTTGAGATGCTATGTCTTTGTGAACATCTTCAGCATTCCAGGCCTTGATTAAGGGTATATCTGTCACGTGGTGCCTTGCCTCTTCTGATAGTTCCCGTTGGCATTCGGCTGTATTTTAATACGATCGTTCTCGGGCGCCTGATTTCGCGGGCGTGTGATATTGGCTGGGTTGTGGAGCAGCGTATTTGCCTGCCGGGACCATCCAGTGCACTGCGCATCTCGGCACGCCAACGCGGGGCGGTGCTGCACGTGCTCCACTACACAGGCGCCCTTAGTTTACTTGCTCGGCGTCTTGCGAACCCAATGAAACCTAGAAAAATCGCCTGTGATCGAACTCCACACCATTTACAGGGTTGTTCCCAGCGTCGAGTCGTGGACGAAAACGACCAAATGATATCTAGATGATAGGTAGACGTTGCATTGTTACAGAGTCTAATGTGAACGGCAGGGATGACCCCATCAAGTCCCTCGACCTGTCGCTGCGCTCATCCCGGACGCGTTCGAATGGACAGGACAAGCGGTGGCGCCGCTACCCGATAGTCTGCATCTGCTGCGCCGGCTCCCCCGGCGCGGGCCCCCTCCCGACTCTGGACCTCTCACACAGCAGACGCTATTTTTGTACATATGTGTTGTGGTAGTGCGAGGCTGCCTGCCTGGCCACTAGTGTATTGTACATATCGCCGTCTGCGCCGCGGGCGCGCTGGCGACGCGCTTCTGGCGACACCTATCGTCTGAATCACGAACCCACTCGTGGCCGCGGACGTCGCAGGCCAGGCCGGCTGGTGACCTGAACTGCTCTGTGGTCGCCGCGTTCGGGGATCTTGGCTACTATGGTCGCCGTGTTAGGTGGCCTGGCTACTCTGGTCGCCGCGTCCGGGACATGGGCGACTATGGTCGCCGCGGTCGGTGAAGTGGGCTTCTCTGGTCGCCGTGTCAGGGGAACCTTGGCGACTCTGGTCCCCACGCCGGGCGACGTCGCAGGCCCGCTTCGGGTGCGTCTGGAGCGAGAGAGCGCCAACGGCGCGCCTCTTCGGGTGCGTCTGGAGCGAGAGAGCGCCAACGGCGCGCCTCTGGGGCTGAGTACCGCGGATGGCATGGCAGGCCGCGGTTGGACAATACAAAAGGACGAAAAGGACATCCGCTGTTTGCATGTCACTGGGTAAGAGGTAGAGGTTGCACAGCTGAGATGAGCATCCTCATCAATATACATAACGCATACGGAACTAAGAACTTAAATATGGCGAGCCAACGCCTGTTGACGTGTGATGTACACAATTATTTTTCTGATAATCACGACTTGCACAGGCCTCAATATACATAAATGGACGCTGCGGCATTAGCTTGAGACCAGCCCGTGCGAAAACCCGCACGAGCTATGGTTTAGCACACAGCATTGATAATTGGACCCGGGTCCTTCGTAATGCTCCGCTGTCTGCGCCAAGTGAAGCATCAGCCCGGCTCGCGCTCTGCACCTGACCTACACACAACGGACCAGAGCGCCCGACGCCAGGATCAGCCCGGCTCGCGCTCTGCTCCTGACCTGCAATGGACCAGAGCACCCGACGCCAGGATTAGCATTGGCGAATGTGAGGCGCTGAGGCGCTGGCCAGTGAAGCGCTGAGGTGCTGGCCGTTTCCAGCACAAAAAGCCTGGTGTTAGCAAAATATGAACATGTCATGAAGACTGATCAGTGAATGAATACCCACTGAAATTACATGATGTGTGCACTGCTTAATGGATAGGTACAAGCATCAATATTCAATAGAAAAAAAACCAAAGGAATCACAGTAAAATACAAATAGTGTCACCAGATAATGAGCCTACAAATCAGCATATTTCACCAGAAGGGCCCACATATTGGTACTCATTTGCTGATACCACCTCTTTGCTTGTTTAATGTTGTCTCACAAGGGGTTATAAATGTTGCTTGAAATAAATGCCACCTGAACAATAAGGCTCAATGAAACATGGATATCTATCATACGCGGCCTGATCCTTGCATTCCTTCGCAGTAAATAGGGGCCATCCAAACATTATGAATGTCATACTACACATATTTCTCAGCATTAACCACGTTTGACTAAAAATGCAACGGTTGCTCATATAAATAAGCTGCAAACATGGTGCAAAAATGGTCAAGAACAATCCTTTAAAACACCCAGCCAGGAGCATCACATTGGGGGAGAGGCCCATCACTGATAATAAATGATCTCATGATCTCAGGATGTCCATAGCTGTGGTACCAGTGTACAACTGAAATAAACAATGAAGTGAACACAAACCACTAAATAGTAACTCCATATACTAAAACAAACCTATGAGGTGTGTCCAGGAATCTGTTCTGTTAACAACAAGCATGACAATTTTTACTGATGCAAACTGTATTGATAGTGCAGAATGTCATGTGCATGAACTGCATTGAACAGCTATTCATGTATGACACAGCTTTCTAGATCTTAATGTATAAGACATATGTCCATACAAATATGCTGATAAAACCCAGCATCACATTACAAATGCTGTAAGGCACTGTGTCAATTTAGTCAATTCACGGCCAATGGAGACCGATTCCCGTAGCCGAGTTGGTAAAGCACCGAATAATCTGGCCGGTACGTGGCTGGGACGT